TTGCTCAGGTTTTGGCAAGTAGCAATCCAATGGAGTTTGTCTGTAGAAGGATAGTGACTACCTTCACGATTTAATCGATCCTTTCATGAAGTGTACGAGGACAACAAGACAGTGAGTCACACGTAAAGTAAATGCGTACATACTGTATGTGATCAATCATTCGAGTTTGACCCATTCGTTGGTTAAGAGGTCTATTGGCTACAAGCATCACGAAGTCTTGCTAAGGGTTAAGATGATTGTATGAATGTTTGTACCTACACTGTAGTTCAGAGTGTAAAATACTCCTGCGTACTTATTGTAACGACCTCACAGATACTACCGGTACTCCAGAGTACGTAGTAACTGTCAAGTGGTGCTTTTCCCTCGCCTGTGTTCACGCCTTTTGTCCTCGCCTATTTCTCCCAAACTCTATCGCCTAGTCTATCAACTCTGACAGGCCGAGACAGTGACCGCATTATACCTGCATGTTCTGTATACTCTTCATGTCGCAACCCTACCCTAGTGATTGCTCACCCAATCACGGCTCTAGCACAAGGAAAAGAGCTCTGATTCTCACAAGTCAGTGTTTCCCTTTGGCTGAGTTTTAGCCAATAGGAACGAAGATAGATAGTTTGTAAACGACTGAATGTCATTTTTGGTTTTCCCCAGTCCCGCACACTTGGTTTGTCTTGGACACTCTGCGATAAGTTGCTACACGCCTATCACCCTCGCCTACCTCCTGTTTCTTGCTTCATGACAGGTTATGAGCCCTCCTGCTTCGACCATTACCGCCTACTCCGGCATTCTCCTCGATGACGCCTTCAAATTCTATGCTGCGTGGCGCACCACGTTTGAAGAAGCGGCAGTAACTGCAGGCTTCTTCCCCTTTACACCAACGAGACCTATTGCCCTACGCGCATCGAAACCGACGCCTACACTATCAGCCAGGCCAAGCTCCAGGTGGGCAAGATCCGCAACGATGCGAAGTACTCCACCGACGGTTATGCTGGTGACGCCTTGGAACAGCGCCTTGCAACGGTGAAACGCCTCGAACAAGACTTCACGCGCAAGTTTCTGGATGAGTATATCGCTGAGTCCCTTGCTGCCCTACGCGTTCAAGCTAAGGCATTTCTTTTCAACTCCCTCACGCCTATCCTCCAACAAGTCATCGGATCCCACGCCTCTCCCGTCTCTCTCTGGGCCGCTCTTATGGCGCGCCATGAAGCCGGCACCCGAACCCCATGATCCTGTTTGCGAGTCTCACTCAACTCAAGTACAGTGAGGACATCAGTGCCGATACACTCTTCACTACTCTCGACGATCAGATCAATTTGATCGAAACGGCAACCCTCCCTGCGAATGCCGACGCTCTCACGGCTCGCGAAGGTCAAGTGAAGACGTTTGAGCTCTTTCGAACTCTCTTCTACTCTAACGCCTTTGCCGCCAACAAAGACGTGTGGGACGCCGTGTGCCAGCTCCAATTCAAGGCGCGAGGATGGATCTGAATGCACGCCTACTTCTATCAAGGCTACTATTCGTCATACCCTAAACATCGCCTCTCGCCGCAATCTCATTCTCTCGGATCAAGGCTCCGGTGACTCCGAATCCCGTTGACGCCAAGTTGCTGCTGCTGCCACCTACACTACGCTTCCTACCGCCTTGTATGCTACGCCTTCCACTACCCAACCTCCGCCTACTTATACTGCTGCTGCTGTCCCTTCTTACGAGTCACTGCCACGTTGGGCACACTTAAATTGTCACAACTATCCTTTCAATTCCTGCTTCTATTGTGGCTCGCCTGAACACCGCCTTCCCGACTGCCGCACCATGCGCGATGACGACAGTCGTAACCGCATTCGTGCCGGCGTTCCGAAGCACGTTGTTGACTCACACTGCCGTCGGAAACGCGCGTCGTCTCGCAAGATCATTGACGATCATACGCAGCATCATCACCGCGACGGACGACTACGACGACTACCATGGGAACGATCAGGGTCCCACCAGCAGCTATCCCAAGCGTCATCGTGACGACTCTCGACCGCCTTCCCGAACTTCTACTCGTCGATCGCCTCCACGTTCCTCGCAGCGAGGTCGTTCCTCCGGCCGCTCCCCTCGAGCTCATCAACGCCTTTCTACCCCATCATTTACGACCCACCCAGACTCAAGTCGTAGCCGCCCCATATCCCCTCCAACCTCCGCCTATCCTCGCCTTTCGTCAGCCACCCGTCGTGCTCGTTCATCGCCTCCTAAACGTCGCGCTTCTCCATCACGTCCATCTGCTGGATGGAACACGTCCCAAACCTTTCATCCTTCTTCCGCCTTTCTTTGGCGCTCCACATCAGCGCCGCCTGCGAAACGCCAACGCCTTCCCAATCCCGCCTCTCAAACCTCAACTACCAAGGTATCAATTCCGCCTACCTCAGCTCCAACGTCACGTCCTCCATCTTCCTCTACGCCTAACGCCCACACTCGGGCTACCTCCACAGCACTCATCGTTCAACCACAGTTTCCACCTCAACAAAACTACGTACCACTTCCCCCCGCCTCTTCCACGGTGGACGACTCTCTGCTGCCCCCACTCCCCGCCTATCGTATTCATCCTCCGCGCACGCCTTCCAACTCTAACAAACTCACTACACGACCTCCCACGCCTGCCGAGTACGTTGACCCGCCTGCACGACAGTTACCCGTACGCCTCAACCGTCGTGGTGGCGCCTACAGTGAACCTCCGCCTCCTCGTGCTGTGCGCCCTTAATACTCCTCCGATGAAGAAGACCGCTGGGGTCCAATTCACGACGTCGCCTACGGTCAAATGGCCAACATTACTGCCGACGCCTTTCACCAACTGTCCTATGACAAGTGTATCGCCTATCATCTTTTCAAGCACCAAACCGGTCTTCATCCCAAAGCGCGACCACCGCCTATCCCACTCATCAAGGACAACCTCCAACTCAAAGACTACCAAGCCAACCCTACGCCTCCCACAATGACCACCCACTTTCCCTTCTACGTTGGAATCTCCTGGGATACGGTCTGCCTGAAGGTGTATTTCCACAATCACACTAACCCATTTCCCTTGGAACCTTCACTCTATCCCCAGCTCTCCAACGAATGGATCATCGACTCTGGTGCCACCGCCTCCTGCACGCCTCACAGTCGCTATTTTATTGACTCCGCCTTTGTCGACAAATCATTTACTCTTGCTGTGGGCGATGGTGGCAAACTTCCTGTTCTCGGCTACGGGCCAATCGATATCGGTGTTACCACCCACTCTGGCGAAACCTCGGCCAATCTCACCACTCATCATGAGCCTCTCTCTCTACCCTTTGCCCTACATTGCCCCACCTTACAATTCAACCTTCTCTCCGTCCGTCACTCTGTTCTAGCCGGCTGCCACTTCGACGTTTCGCATCCATCGCAATGCCTCATGGGCATCTGTCCTGGACTTTATCTGCGTGCTCAAGTTAACGCCTTGGGACTCTATTCCTTTCCGGCGCAGCCCTACACACGCCTAGCCAGCAA